CAGCAGGAAGAGAAAAGATCACCAAACAGGATCATGTCCTTACCACTCTTCCTCTGCCTGCCCTAGCATAATGAGGAGCATTCCCAAAAACATTCCCATCCAAGGAGGGGAAAACCTTCTGTTGAGAATGACAGAGGTGTGAGTCTTTCATGGGTGGTCAGTGAGATCTGACACCCGAAGCAGTAGTGGTCTGTCCTTTTCTATCTCTTTTGTAGCTTTGCTGAGAGAACAGAAGGATTTGCTTCTTTCTGAGAAACCTTACGGCATACCCAGGCTTGTGGAAGGGCTGTGGTTCAATGGGACAGGCTCACTCTCCCACCATGGAGTAGCAGAGTGGGGCAAAGTTGCTGTGTCATATGATTGAGGGGTTGGCTCCCCACTAATCGAGTAGATATCTGAGTCTTCCTTCCCCTCCCCAGAAGCATCCAAGGGCATTAGTGCTGGGGTTTTATTTTGGGGTTTTTTTTGGTAGCTGACTGACTTGTCTTGTTACTGGTACAGATCCTAAAGCAGATGTGTGCAGTGGTGTTACCTGTCCATGTGTAGCCAGGAAGCATTGGTCTGTCTGCCTACACCTCACCCCAAGAGCACTGCGGTGCACTTTTAGCTCTGAACAATGAATAATGAGTTCTTCTCTAAAAATGTGAGGGCTTGAATGGTGTTTTTGTAAAAGACGGGATTTGGATTTGGCTTCAGATTTTTTTGAGGAGGTTCTTTTGGGTGGGAGGCAGTGTTTGTGTAAAAAATTTTTAACAGCTACCCTTCGTTGCATTGGTAAAACCTGCAATGGATTTCCATCACAAATTTTCATAATATTAACACCTTTAAAGATCTTAAAGATGTCAATAGATTGCAAATGTCCCTTTCATTCAAAACACTGATCAGTCGTTTACGTTAAATAAACACCAAAACCGGAACAAACTGAAACAGAGAACAAAACGCTTCTGTCTTCTGTGTGCACGTGGTTCTCCTGGCTCTGCTGAAATGCTGACTTTGGTTGCGGTGGGGCAGTTAGGTCATGAGAACACTGGCCTTGAAATGGGAAAGGGAAGATAGGTATTGCTCGTTACTCTAGTCTTCCTGGTCTGTAACTTGTGTATGAATGAACGTAACAAAATGAGAACAGTCACAGCTACCAGTTTGGGGTTTTTTAATTGGTGAAATTTAACATTATGCACTAGTGTGGGCTGAAGTTTGCTAAGCTGAGAGAGGAAACCAGCTTAGGAGTACGTGGTTTCTCAACTTCTGTTTGAATTTGCTTCCTTGCACGGTAGAGAGTAGTGCTGCTCTCTTCTCGTTCTCAGGCTGGGTAGATGAAAGCAAGTTCTGGAAAAGTCGGTCTTCTGATAAGTCATGGCTTTTAGCATGACAACGTTTATACGTTTTCATATGATAACTAAAGATTTCCAAGATATAATTTGTAATCTGCAGGAATTTGAAAACACCGTTGGTATTTTTCAGGCCACAGAAAAATATATTTTTCCTCTATATAAAAATACCTTTGAATTTTTATCATATGTATTTGGCTGTTATTTAATATTTAATTTTGCAGTGTGAGAAGTGCTCTGGGCCTAAGTACTTCTGTGCTTAAAATCAAACGAGTGATTAAGTGCTTTGCTTTTTAATATTCGGTCTTAGTTTTAAATCCATAATATGAAGATCTGAAAAGGCACCACATCAAAAAGACACCTGTGTATTTTTAAAAACTAGTTCGCGACTGTGCTCATCATATTGGATAGTAAAAAAAATCTTGAAACATTGAAGAAATGTAGAAGCTTTAAACTGAACTGTTCTTCTTGGTTAGAAAAAGCTATTAAAGAGTCCGTTTTCATTCATGTGAGAGTCTTCAGTGGGATACCTCTTTGGAAATTGGGTATTGTTGCTTGTTGTGCTGGAAGAGCAGTGAAGAGAACAAGAAGCGGTATTTTGTTGTTTGCGTAGAACTGTTGCAATTTCATAGTGTCGGGGAGAAAAGATACATGGGGCTGTAATTTGAAACTGTGCTGATTTCGAAGGAGGTAATAGGATCTCAGCAGTAGGTGTACTGGAGATGCTACAGGGGTTCGGGGTGGTTGCCCCCATGAAATAACAAGTACACATTTATTTAAAAAAATTATTAAATACTTCTTTCCTCCCCTCCCAGAAGTGAATGTAGACCAGAGAAACTGCCATCGCATTCCTTTGAAATCGATCATGAAGATGTGGATAAGGATGAAGTATGTATTCTGGGTTTTGGTGGGCTTTTATCCCTGGGGAAGAGTTATTCATTGCTTTAGTATCAAATAAAGAATGATAGTGGAGGTTCATTACCCCATAGGAAATATTTCCTGTTTTAAATAGTTCTGCAGTTAGTGGAACACCTTTGTCTCTTATATCATCATATGCACAGCAGGCACATTGATAACATCTTATTTTTAAAGAAATGAAAGGATGATTATTTGTTGTCAAGCAGATATTCACACATTACAGTTTTCTTTTGTCTTAGGATTCAAAAAGCAAGTCCATGCAATATTAATCGTGTCTTTCACGCAGGATACAACGTCCCACTCATCTTCAAAAGGTGGTGGCAGTGGTGGAGGAGGAGGAGGAGGAGGAGGAGGATTAGCAGCAGGAGTTTACAAGTCTGGATGGCTTTATAAAGGGAATTTCAACAGCACTGTAAACAATAGCATTACTGTTCGGGTAAGGGAACAGCATTATTCTTTCTTTATTCCATTTGGATTTATCTCGCTTGTTTGCCATTGTCATTTAGCTCTTTACATCTCAGGTTTGATTTCATTACTTCAAATTATAGTAAAGTAATATTGCAGTCATCTGCAAAGTAGTGCGATTGAAGTGCACTTAGGAGTTGCCTGTTATTTAAAACCTGTGACTAAAATATCAGTGAAAATAATTTGCAGTACAACGGCTGTAATTCTTTTATTTCTTTCCCCAACTTCAGTCATTCAAAAAGCGCTACTTCCAGCTGACACAGCTGTCGGATAACTCATATATTATGAATTTTTATAAAGATGAGAAAATATCAAAGGAGCCGAAGGGATGTATTTTCTTGGATTCTTGTACAGGAGTTGTACAGGTGAGTTTCAGTTTATTTTCTTGTATTGTTTGGGTGTTGGATAAATTATAAAAAGCAAGTAGAACACCACATACATAAATGGAATAGTGGTCTCATTAGCAGTTTCATTAAACAAAAACAGTTTTACTCTTTAAATCGGTGCAAGTGCTCACACCGACAGGTTACAAAACCCACAGTTGACTTGTGGTAGCAGATCATGCGTATGCTCTTTGCTCGTGGCACACTTGAGAAAAAATATTAAATATTTCTTTTCACCGCAATTACTTTCTTAGCTGCCAGATTTTACTCCAGGTTTATTAACAGCATGCTTGCCTGTTGTGGGTTAGAGAGACTCGGGTTACAAAGCATCAGCTGTTGAACAAGTGGTAAATCAATCCTGTATCCTGAGCTTCCTTGAAGATCATCACTTTTGGAGGTGATAGAAAGTCTTAATTGCAGCAGGCAGGACAGAGCCTTATTGTTTATTATGGCTTGGAAAAGTACAAAGCCAGAAGTGTCTGACACTACTTTTTTTGTTGTTGTTCCCCCCAAGATGGAGTTCTTAGCTTTGTTCCCCCTCTTGCTCTGCCTTTCCTCTGTTATGTTACTGTAGTTCTCTTTTTTCTTTTTCCTTTCTTTTTTTCTTCATTATAAAAAAAAGATGTTGTATTGACGAGTGTTTTACTTTGGTTGATCTAGCCCCATGTGTCACTAAGTAAGGACAGTCTTTTTTATTAGCTATACTTTATTCTTGACTACTTAACCAGTAAATATTGGTGCCAGTGCTAGTGCAGACTGATTTTGAGGGCTTGCTTCAAAAGAAGCCTTTCAGGTAATGCAAGGGAATACCCCTGATAAACACAAGCTGAGGACTCTCTCCTTCACCCCTAAACGGACCCTTTGCCGCAAGAAAAATAATCAGTGAGTAATTCACTCTGGGAACAAATATTTGCTAACAGCATCCTGCAGAACCTCATTCCTGCACGCAGGAAAGTACCCAGCTCTGCAGGGAGTGACTGTTTCCCCTGTGTAGTTCAAAAGTGTGTGGTTTGTTGGGTTATTTTTCCAAACAGGTGTAGGACAGGATGGAGATAAATACGCGGAAGGACACTGATGTTTGCCTGTGTCAGTCCATTACCTTGAGAGACCCTAACAGGTAGCTTGCAAATGCAGCTGAAGCCATAGAGGAAATTCTTATATGGAAATCCTGTTTACAAAGTACTGCTTGCTCCTGCTTTCTGACAGTGTGTGCTTTCTTTTAAGATGGGTTTCAGCCAGAAATCTAGTTAAGCTCTGAATGTCCCTGCAGTGTGGTTTTAGATACAGATTTAATGCTATCCCAGAGGGTGCCTTTTCTGCTGTGTTCATTCTGATGACACTCCATGATAGCAGAAATGTCTTGATTGCAAGATTTCTGGCCTTTTCGACTAACCTCTGGCAAAAAAAGCCCAAGAAATCCTTGAAATCCTTCTCCTGAACTTTAATAGCTGCCTTCTACAGCA